CATATGTTAAATTTAAACCAAATTTTCCAACTGTGCAAAAATTTTTCTTCGTCAAATTGAATTTAAATTTTTTCCTTCTCCGATAAAGATATTCACGCGGAATGACGTAAGGACGCGTGGATCTCAATCGTCTTTCCTCAACGATTGCGTTATTGACAACAAACGGAACGAAACGTTAAATATCATCGTATCCGCCTGTTTTTCTCCCTCGAGCTTTTTATTCGAGGTCGCTCTTGCAAAATTGTTATCGCATCGATAGCTGCCTCGGGACTTTTGCTCGCAAGAACCTCGTAAGAAATTGCGCGTGCATTATTCTTATTTGTTGACGACTAGCGTACGATCGATTATCATGAATGAGAGATACCCTCCTCCTTTTTTCCTTTCCCTCATCTCTGCGTTGCCGAAGGCGTGTAGTTATTTTCGTATTTGCATCTTAGTCGGTGTGCATTTACACGATTTGCGTTTTAGACAACATTCAGTGTCGCGAGGATATTAAACGTCACAAGGTAGGCTTTTCCGCTTTTCTTTGACGCTAATACTCGTGTACTCGTAAAATTTTCCAAGTAAGACAATTTATTTATGTAGAGGCGCGTAAAAATGTTAATATTAGATGAAGTAATGAAAACGCATTTCTTATATTCACATTATAATATATTATTATATTATTAATATTAATTATATACAGGGAGCGGCATTTATAGTATAACGCTTAATAAAGGAATTATTATTGAGTAAAATCTGGTCAATCAGCGCCAACCTTTAGCCGGGCGCACGTCGATGAGCCGCACGCCGTGAAGTGTGCGCTGCCGCATACTACCAGGCGCGCGGCTCACCGACGTGCGCCCGGCTAAAGATCGGCGCTGATTGGCCAGACTTTACTCAATAATAACTCCTTTATTAAGCGTTATAAAAAAGAATGGTTCTGGACTTTTCGACTCAGTTTGATCCAATCTAGTTCCATCTTTCGTTTGGTCACTTACTTGTCGGACACCCTGAAAAAAAATGGAAAGCACAACATAAATTACACATTTTATTTAAAATTTATGTTATTTTTGTAAATGTATAAAAATGTTTGGACTTTTTACAATTAAAGCTTTTCCACGTACCTGTTTGGTCGGTATTAATGACGTAATCCTCGTCGAAATTAGGTATCAACCGTAAAGTTTGTGCGCGAAAGATCTCTGCAGAGGCCAAGGTTTCGTCAATCGTCACTACCTCTTTTTGAGAAACGAATTTGGTGACTTTTCGTTGACGAATTACGTGCCTTTTTTTAAATTTCGTCACCCATCGATCAGAAGCTTTGAATTTAAAATCTGGATATTGTTCTGCAGCAGCCAAAGCCCACTGCTGTAAATTTCTGGTCGTGACTTGTTGATAACTTTGCCTAGTTTCAACGAAACGGTCGTATGTCCAGGAATCGATGACAGAATATTTATCGAAAGTTTTCGACCCTTTTCGACTGCTTCTTTCCACCGCGATAAATACTCAATTTTTTTTAAGCGACGACATCCTTTCTTTTGCAAAGTTTGCAAACTCCACGTAGGATGTGCTTTGGCTATGTTAATGACTTCTATTTTATAGTCAAAAGAAATATACTCCGCCTCTCTGCTTTTTTTTGGTTCTGGTTCATAATCGTCCGATAAATCATCTTCTTCGACTTCTTTAAAACTCATTTCTTCATACTCTTCATTCATATGAATTACTTCCTCTTCAATCACAAGCTTTTTCTCGCCCAAGATTTCTAGTGTATTTTCATAAAGTTCTTTTCCTATCAGCATAGCTTCGTGAGAAGTTGTTGCTGAAGGTTCCGATGCAATTAATTATTCGGACGAAAAAAAAAGAAAAAAAAATCAAGTTATAAGGATCGAACCTGCGACTACGGGCATGCTACCGCCTTAGCCAGACGGCCCCTTGATAGGTGAGAAAACTTTTTTATATACAAGATGAGTCATTTTAATCAACGCACGCAAATATCTCGTAAAGTAAGCAAGACGGAAAAAAATGTTTTATACAAAAGTTGTAGAATTCAGAGGGAGACACATAATGAAAATATGGACTTGACCTTGAGTGACCTTTTCAAGGCCAAGTCAATGTGATCGATATTTTTTTAAATGGAACCCCCCATTTTTTATTGCATATTCTTGTAGCTTATCTCGAAAGATATCAAAACACTATAAAAAAGTATTTTTTCATTAAGTACTTTTTGAGTTATTTTATATTTTAATCTGAGCCTTTTTTTAAATTTCGTCACCCATCGATCAGAAGCTTTGAATTTAAAATCTGGATATTGTCCTGCAGCAGCCAAAGCCCACTGCTGTAAATTTCGTGACTTGTTGATAACTTTGCCTAGCTTCAACGAAACGGTCGTATGTTCAGGAATCGATGACAGAATATTTATCGAAAGTATTTCCACCCTTTTCGACTGCTTCTTTCCACCGCGATAAATACTCCATTTTTTTTAAGCGACGACATCCTTTCTTTTGCAAAGTTTGCAAACTCCACGTAGGATGTGCTTTGGCTATGTTAATGACTTTTATTTTATAGTCAAAAGAAATATACTCCGCCTCTCTGCTTTTTTTTGGTTCTGGTTCATAATCGTCCGATAAATCATCTTCTTCGACTTCTTTAAAACTCATTTCTTCATACTCTTCATTCATATGAATTACTTCCTATTCAATCACAAGCTTTTTCTCGCCCAACATTTCTAGTGTATTTTCATAAAGTTCTTTTCTGCAAGCAGCCCTTCGTAGTATACCACTGCATCCTTCAATCGCAATTTCGACATTTCGCTGTGCATTGAATCTTCAGGAATTTTCTCTTCAACCCTCGAAGGGCCAGGAATTTCTTCACTAGTCGACATTTTTCACCGAAATACGTTTTTTTCCTTTATATCACGACACTACGGAATACGTCCGATCACAGCAATGTTCAAAAATGAACTGCCGAAGACGCTCCCGACTTGTTTCGACCTGTTTCGACCCCTTGGCTGGGATATATATCTTTTGTCTACGGGACCAGCTGCACATGGCCAGGTAAAAACCGTTACCTCGAAACGAATATCTCTTACCTACACTTTCTTGTACACACACACCCTGTTCACTGTGTATATCTTTTGTATTAGGTATATCCTTTATATTGAAAAATCGTATAAATATTTACAAATAAAAATATGTCAGAAAAGTAATGTAAAAATTTGTAAAAATTTTGTGGATGAATAAAAAGAAAGTTAAAAAGAGTGTTTAAAGACAAATGTTAAAAATTTCTATTTTTATGGATTTGACCTTAAGTGGTCTTTTCAAGGTGAGGTCAATGTGGTCGATGTTTTCTTAAATGGAACTCCCCATTTTTTATTACATATTCTTGTAGCTTACCTCGAGAGCTTTCCAAAACACTATAATAAAGTATTTTTTCATTAAGTACTTTTTGAGTTATTTTATATTTTAATCCGACATATTTTGATGTAAAAAATAAAATATCTCGTAAAATATTTAGTCTTCGATAATCTTACCGTAATACTTTACCGAAAGTATTTCCACCCTTTTCAACTGCTTCTTTCCACCGCGATAAATACTCCATTTTTTTTAAGCGACGACATCCTTTCTTTTGCAAAGTTTGCAAACTCTACGTAGGATGTGCTTTGGCTATGTTAATGACTTTTATTTTATAGTCAAAAGAAATATACTCCGCCTCTCTGCTTTTTTTTGGTTCTGGTTCATAATCGTCCGATAAATCATCTTCTTCGACTTCTTTAAAACTCATTTCTTCATACTCTTCATTCATATGAATTACTTCCTCTTCAATCACAAGCTTTTTCTCGCCCAAGATTTCTAGTGTATTTTCATAAAGTTCTTTTCTGCAAGCAGCCCTTCGTAGTATACCACTGCATCCTTCAATCGCAATTTCGACATTTCGCTGTGCATTGAATCTTCAGGAATTTTCTCTTCAACCCTCGAAGGGCCAGGAATTTCTTCACTAGTCGACATTTTTCACCGAAATACGTTTTTTTCCTTTATATCACGACACTACGGAATACGTCCGATCACAGCAATGTTCAAAAATGAACTGCCGAAGACGCTCCCGACTTGTTTCGACCTGTTTCGACCCCTTGGCTGGGATATATATCTTTTGTCTACGGGACCAGCTGCACATGGTCAGATAAAAACCGTTATCTCGAAACGAATATCTCTTATCTACACTTTCTTGTACACACACATCCTGTTCACTGTGTATATCTTTTGTATTAGGTATATCTTTTATATTGAAAAATCGTATAAATATTTACAAATAAAAATATGTCAGAAAAGTAATGTAAAAATTTGTAAAAATTTTGTGGATGAATAAAAAGAAAGTTAAAAAGAGTGTTTAAAGACAAATGTTAAAAATTTCTATTTTTTTTCAATAAAATAACTTGTAAATGAATATTTATTTTTATAATTTTATAATCGCATGTTATTTAATCTGTGCGTTATTTAAAAATTAAAAAATATTTTGTTTATACATTAAACATTTTTAAATGAAACACCGCGCGTTAATCATGCATCGAACACACAGTCTAAAAAATTCAATTTACGTTAAGAGATGTCTCTGCAAAGATTACAAGATAGAAAGCTTTTTACTCTCGTCGGAATCAACGAGAGGAGATGGCTCGACGACGAGCGCCGAAAATGTCACAGAGACTCGACTAACGCAGTTGCGGACAGGAAAAGTTTGTTAATGGGATCGAAAAGAGGATCCGAAAAAGTCGTAATACGACGAGATCCGCGAGAGCAAAGTGGAAGCCGAGTTTATCCAGGTTTTGTCTTTTACTCGGAATCACCGAGAGATCTTTGAGGGAATGATTCTCAAGAGCTCGTTGATGAGGTCTTAGAAGCGTACAAGAGGCGACGAGAAAAAAAGGAGAGATTTCTTAGCTCATTGAATGATCATACGTTAATCTTTAAAGATCTCTGTTTACGACGACAAATTTCGTTTGTAAAAATAGTAATGTATTATTGACTCACGTATGGCAATGCGATAACAATATGAGCGTTCCCTTCCCCTTTGTAGACCATATCTTCTATAGCGAGAGTCGTAAGGGATGGATTAGTCTCGAGCGATAATTCTTCTTTAAGATTTCCGGCAGTCATTGTTTTTGCAAAACAATGGTCAGCTTCGTGGGAGACAATCCTCTTTATCGCTTCTCGTCGATTTATCGCCAGATCTGTAAGCAAACAAAGATATTTTTGTCAATAAAAAAATTATCTCTGAAAGTTTAAATTTCTTTGTTTAATAATAATATTCTTTTTTAAAATATTTATCTTTCCGATATTGATGTGTTATTGGAGCTGACAGTCCGTTGATTCGGCACGTAACAAGAAATTCATCGATCGGCACAAAGGCAATTCGGGGAAAGGTAAGTACTCGCGTCGCGATTCGCTATCCTTATCGGATGCATATCCACGTGTTGACGTAACACGAGCGACCATGCGAGGTATATCAAGTCGGTCAAGATTTGCGCAGCCGTGACATTTCTTCGGGCCCGGCCGGTAGCAGCCAGCGATCCGGGAAGAAAAATCGCTCGCTTGCTTCATAAGAGAGCCGGTGAAAGTCGAGCAAAGGTCGCGGCGACTTTATATCGCGCGCAACCGCGCGTGAAAATTCAAATGCCGATCCCGGTCCCGAACTCGATCCGCGCGAGACGCTTATAAGATCCCGCGATACGCGAATTGCTCGCCCGTCGATATTAGCCTTCACGGCCTTAAACCTAGCAGAGAAACGAGCAGTCCTGACTTGTCAAGGAGGTCGAAGAAAAGAGATGATTTCAAGTATCGTAATTAAAGATTTAAAAAACTGGTTTTTTTCTAATAGAAAAAAATAGTTTTAAAAAACGTTTTTTTATTATTTTTTAAATTATAATATTGTTTTTCTTTATTTATTTATTTTTTTTTTTCTACAGTAATTTTAATGAATTAATGAGATTTTTGTGGCAAATTACATCAAACTCGACATGATTCGGATAATTTTCAAAAGACAATTTTCAATAGATGCATAACCAAAATTTTTATTAATTAAAAATAGTAATTACATAACTGTATGGCCAATTGAAATGCGAGCTACATTAAAAATAATAATGGTTAATTCAAATCTATCATCTAAAAAGTTAAAAATAATAAAAAATCAGTAATCAAAATATAAAGATATTAAATATCTGGAAAAAAAAAAAAATTGGAAAAACTCGAGGCTTGTTTTTTTTTCTATTTACATCTTTAATCGTAATATAATGCTCTTTCTCAATTACCATCAAAGGTAGACCGCGCAGAAAGTACGATTTATTTTTTATTCCTTGGCTGCAGGATTCGAGACTAAAGTCCCTGATGACGTGTCGTTACACATGTACATTACTAATGAAAGAGTGAGCCGCGTGATGGGCAACACTTTCTCCCGCGCTATATTACATACATTTACGAAACGTATTTGTGTAAAATAACCGCGCGCCGCCGCCGTCTCTCGTTGCGTAAGCTCCTTATTCAGGAATACGAATTTCTCACACTAGAAACCGCCTCGCCTTTTAGACACGTTCGAAGCCTTTCTGCCTCTGATGACGTAATTACCCGCTGCCAATGACCACCGTAATTGCAAGAAACGCCGTCTGTACGAGAGAAGTTAAGGCAGCTTTATTACGAACATCACTGCCCCTTTGAAAAAAGAAGAACTTTTGATAGACCCGCTTGTGAAATCAACGCGTAATTCAACAGCGTGTCTACTCAAATCTTGTACAAAAATTCTCTGAAAATTCCCTGATCTTTTAAGTATTTTTATTCAAAATTCCAGGTAAAGAAAATATTTTAAAGATTTTTAATGCAATTTCTTAAAATAAATTTTTTTTTATTGTACGCGTTTTCTAATGTTTTTCACTCATACGAAGGAAAAATACAAAGCTACTTAAGTTTCAAGTGCTAGATTTACAAATGTACTAAAAAAAAAAAAACTGAATAACTTTTGTTAAGATAAAAATTTTTAACTTGTATAACATTTTCATTTTTTATTATTAAAAATTAAAATAATGAAAATGTATTGCATATTCAATATTTTGTTAAAACATTGAATATATAAACAGAGATAGATATATATTTATAATATATTTTAAACACATAATTCACAACATATAAGAGCAAAATTATCAAAGAGAGAATTTTTTTTTTTTTTAATTCCCTGAATCCCAATAAAATACTATGAGAATTCCCTGATTTCTCCAAGTACAAAAAATTCCCTGAGAATTCTAGGTTTTCCATGTTTTTCCAGAGAGTAGACATCCTGTTCAATTAATCGCTCTAAATTCGTAAAGAGGAGAGAATTATTCGCGTAGACGGTCACCATGAATCTTGCGTGCTCGCGCGTGTGTGTTCGCGGTAAATTATAAAATTGCGTCACGTTCTTACTCATAAAGTGACGCGCGTTCTTACATCCTGATGAATAAACGTCTCTCGTGAACGATGGTTCGATCATAATTATTTCGAAATATTTGCGAAATATTTCAGCTCGATAACATGGAAAAAAGAAGTGGTATTTCGAGTTAGTCGATCAAAGTTTAAATCCATCGTTTTACCAAGGCTGTCGCGAATATTATTAATGAAAAAAGTGTAATACGCTAAAAATACATATCCTCTCCTCCATAATAAATACATAATACGATATATTATTATTGTGTACAACGTTCGCAACGCGTATTGGCGAGTAACCTGTTGAATTTCGCGGAGTTCGTCGAGTACCTGTCACGGTGCCTCGAGTAGTAATGTAAAAATACGCTCGTAAAGTGGGTTCTCGTACGATCGGACACTTAAAACTGTCAAACCTGGTAGTGTCGAGTGGCATCGGGAGGACTCGAGCATTCGATACGAGAACAACACTACCGATATATGGCCGATATTATCAGTCGCGGGCTTGGAGAACCCGCGAAATCGCTATTCCGCGACGTGCGTTTTTCCAGCAACCGTCGTGAGGCTACACAGCCTGTTTATGGCTATACTCGCGAAACGATGAGTCATGCGAGAATGAAGTCATATATGTCGGTAATAAAAGAGAACCGCGTGCAAACTTTCGAAAGCGTTTCGTTAACGAGCGCGTGATGCAAATTAGAGACAAGAAAAAGAAACGCCACAATTGTCCAAAATCGCGACGTCAGAAGCGCAGGAGTATACAGGGTGTCTACTCAAATATTGTAAAAAAATTCCCTGAAAATTTCTTGACTTTCCAGGTATTTTTATTCAAAATTCCACGTAAAGAGAATATTTTAAAGATTTATTTTGGTACAATTTCCTAAAATAAATTTTTATTGTACGCGTTTCCTAATGCTTTTTACTCACACGAAGAAAAAAACAAAGCCACTTAAGTTTCAAGTGTTAAATATATAAATGTACTGAAAGAAAGCTGAATAGCTTTCTAAGATAATTTTTAACTTGCATAACATTTTCTTTTTTTTATCACAAATTAAAATAAAGAATATATACTGTACATATTCAATATTTTGTTAAGACATTGAATATATAAACAGAGATAAAAATATATTTATAATATATTTTAAACACATAATTCACAACTTGGCTTATCAGCGGATTGCTTACAGTATAAGAGCAAAATTATTAAAGAGAGAATTTTTTTTTTAAATTCCCTGAGAATTCTAGGTTTTCCATGTTTTTCCAGGGAGTAGACACCTTGTATAAAATATATCCGAAAAAAAGCTACACGATTACAGCAGATTATTGTTTCATCGTAAGATTGCAAATACATTATTTTATTGCAATGTAGTTGAAAGGTATTATATTAGATCTTCCATCGATGAAATTCTCTTCTCTTCTTTCGTACAGCCACTTTTCCGAATATAGAATTTCCTTTATTTCATCATGATTTTATTAGCGAGAGATTATTCGTTCGTTTATTTTCTCGCTTCTGATGTCGAGATGCCGTCGACATTTAAATTAATCAAGCTTGCTTTTCGTAAATCATTTGATAATGGTGACACGCGCGTCGATGACCACGAGATTATTGCGAAGTATTTAATGACATTCTGATCGCGAAAAGAATTTACGATGCAAGAAGCAAGTAATAATAATCCGAAAACGGCAAAGACGATTGGCAAAGAGCACGACGTGCGACTACGTTTAGAAAATTAATATAGGACGCTACAGTCGATTTATTCGTCGCTGTGCATTTTACGCATTAAACATACGCCTTTCGGTTTTATTTGTTTCGAGCGACAGGAAAAACTTAAACGTCGTAACTTTCAAACTGGAGCAAGCCGTAATTTATATCCGATAGCGGTGTTATTTTCTCCACTCCTTGGCAAGTAATAGGACGCATCTTCTTTTACCGTTAGCCTAACCGTCGTGTCGACCGCGTGTTTAAGAGGTAATTGTCTCCTGTCTCCTGTCAACTGCCTTAGAAAAGCAAGTAACGCGTCGCACAGAGTAATAATCTCGTTATAAAGCCGGTTATCTTATTATACACGCTACGTCGAAGCATAGAAGGAAGATAATACACATGTGCGATTCGCATAAGGTACGACGTTCAAATTTAAATTATTAGTTTAAACCATGACGTACCTTAAAATTAATTATTAACATTTGACTTGTTTCACAAAATCGAATATACCGTCTATTAATAAATTCCTTTAAGTCTTCATAAAAATTGCTGTTACATATCTTTATATAGGTACCGTCGTATCCAAAGAAACGACACACACGCATTTTCTTCTTATCTTGGCTCTTAAGAGAGCATACCCGTTTGAACCTTCAAAAAATGATATATATATATATATTTTCTAGATTTTTTTGCAGCGCAACAATCTGATGAAAACTTTTTCTTTTTTTTACAATATTAATACAATATTATTAAGTACTTCAATAAAGTTTCGTTTTTTTAAGTCCATCTTTTTTAAGACGAAACTTTTTTTCAACATGCCGCCATGTTTTATTTTTTAAAATTTTGAAAAAACGCTTGAATAGCAGATAGCTATTAATGTTTAATAAAAAAAGACTTGTATTTTTTTATTTCGGATATGATCTACGAACGTTTTCATGCACACCGTGCAATCATGTAAAATTTAGAGAAGCTCTGTAAATATTCCCATAACTTTAAAAAGAAATTCTTTTTAAGCTGAAAATTTTTATTTAAATAGTTAATAATATTGTAAAAAAATTAAAAATTTTTATCAAATCGTTGTTC